ATTTTTCAATGCTATGATTTCTGTCTATTTGTTTTCTCTTTTTTTATGTTTTTTATTTCTCTGTTGTACTCCTCCTTTTGGTTGTGCATTATTTTTCTAGTTTTGTTTAGTAGCCTGTCTGTGTTTTTAATAGTTCACTAAACTACTTTAAGAGAATTATTCTGAATTCTTTGACATTTCACAAATCTCCATTTCTTTCGTTCTTTTTTTTTTATTTTTTATTTTTTGGTACGTGCTCCTAGCAGGAACTGAACCTGGGACTCTCTGGTCCACAGGCCGATGCTCCAACTGCTGAGCCAAACCGGCCAGGGCACATCTTCATTTCTTTAGGGTCAGTTATTAAAGGTTTATTAGTTTTCTTTGGTGGTATAAATATTTATGTGATTTTTCATGATCCTTGATTCCTTACATTAGTCTCTGCACATTTAAGTGGTCTCCTTTTCCAGATTTTTAAGTTCACTTTGGGAGAGACAGTTTTGCACTAGTCAGCTCAGTTTTTTGTTTTTGTTTTTTTCTAAATATGTCTTCTGGTAATGTCCTTGGAAAGATGGGGCCTGGTATTAGAGTCTATTGTTCACTGAAGCAATAGTTCAAGCTCTGAGAACAGGGTTGTGGGTTTTCCACTGGCTGAAAACAGCTAGACAGTACTGCTGGCATTGTTCCCTCACCGAGGGAGGCTGTAGAATGGACTCTGCAGTTGCCTGGATTCTCTAGTCGGGCTTAGTAGATGTTCGGGATTGGGTACTTTATTAAGTAGTAAATGAGGCTATGAATTAGCTTTCCTGCTCTGGTGGCAACAGAACAGGACCCATTACCTACATGATTCATTTTTGGGGGACCCAAATCAGGCAAGAGTGTGTACTAAACGTTCTGGTCAGACGAGGCCGCCAATTTTGCTTCAAATTCAGAGAAAGCCATGGGCTACTGCTCTGGGTCACAGTTTTAAAAGCTAGCTCTGTAGTGACCCAAGTGAGAGATTACGATGGATACATGGATTGGGTGTGGCAGTGGAAGTGAGGAGGGGGGAGCTACAATATTGGCTTTCAATTAGAGGATGAACACACAAGATTGTCATATGTATTTGATGTGGGAATGAGAAAAGCTGTAGTAATTACTTGTTTTTGGCTTAAGCATCTGTGTAAATGATGCTTCTATTTATTGATAAATGAATAATCAAGGAAATAATTGTATGGGCTAAGGAGTCAAGAGTGTTGTTCTGAACATTGAACATGTTAAATTTGACATGAAAGAACTAAGCTAGTGATGGCAATTTGGCAGTCATTAGCATAAAGGAGATTTGGTGGTGGTGTTTTTTTTATCCTCACTCGAGGACATTTTTCAATATTTTGTTCAGATAGAGTGGGAGGGGGAGAGAGAGAGAGAGAGAGAAACATCGACCTGAAAGGGACACATCGAGTGGTTGCCACCCACACGACCCAACCAGGGCCGGGGACAAAGTGCAACTGAGGTACGTGCCCTTAGCGGGAACTGAATCCAGGTCTCTCTGGACTGCAGGCCGACACTCTAACTGCTGAGCCAAACCAGCCAGGGCAGATGTGGTGGTTTTTATACATGTCTACAAATTTTTAAGCACTCCTTCCAATAAGAGGTGAGTCCTGTGCTCCTCCTTTTGAATCTGGGCTGGCTTTAGTGACTATGTTGTAACCTACAGAATGTAACCACTTCTCAAATTATGACAGTAAACACTATGCAGCTTCCATCTGGTTCTCTTGGAATGCTTATTCTCCAGAGACCCCTTCTGGAGAAGTTCTTTTTCAGTACTCAGCTGCCATGCTGTGAGAAGCTGTAAGGAAAGGCCATGTATAGATGCTATAGTCAAGAATTCCAGTTGAACCTATCCTTCAAGTAACAATGAAGCTGTCAGACATGTGAAAAACCCTACCCCCTGGTCTTGCACCAGAACCTCCTTCATTTTCTCAGTTTAGGACCCAATATTTTCCTGGCTGAACAGGACTGGAGCTGGGCAACTAATATGTCTGCATCTTACCATAGAATCCCCTTCCACATGGAGCTTGGAAGTGGATCCTCCATCCTCGGATGTTCCAGTCATTTAAGCCACTCCCACCTGTTTGAATCTTCCTATCGGAGGTCCTGGGTATCGTGGAGCAGATACAAGTCATTCCTGCTGTTCCCTGTCTACATTTCTTGACCCATGAGAATAATTAATGGCTGTTGTTTTATGTCACTAAATTTGGGGGTGGTTTGATGGCAATAATTGAAGCCATCAGGACAGATGAGATCATTCAGGGAGAGTATGTAGCATGAAAAGAGAAGAAGGAAAACACCGTGGGGAACCCTAACCTTTAAGAGATGGGAGAAGTTAAATAAGAAAAACACGAGGAAAAAAAAAAAGGTAGCAAGGGAATAAAGGAAGGATATCAGGGGACTGTGATGTCATGAAAACCAAATAATAAATTCATTGTGAACACTATCAAATACCTCTGACAGGTCAAATAAGATAACTGAAAAATGTCCTTATGTTTTAGTAATCAGGGCAGTGGTAACTCGGCAAAAGCAGCTTTACTGAGAGAAAATAAGAAAAGTAGGATTCTTTAGAAGAGAGGAGCAGGGATGAAGAACAAAGGAGGGGCTGATCTAAGACAGAAGGGAAGGCAGACACAGTGTGTGCAGATCCTAAGAATTATTTTGAGTTGGTGACAAAAAGTTTAGGGAGTTCCTTCCTGAGGGTTTTTGTTCTTTCTTAATTTAAATTTTCAGAGGAAAAATAAAGTGGGAGATGTTTTTGGCTCCAAATCAGTACTCTTGGCTTACCTGAGGGCCCTTGCCTGGCACAATACCCTATTAATACTCTCAATTTAGGACTCAACTTTACCCATTCTAGGGCTGGAGCTGGACAACTAATAATCCTGCATCTTTTCCCACAAGACCTTGCCATATGAAGCTCAAGCCAAGCGTATGCTGAGAGGATTGAGGAGGTCACTACTAGACCTGAGAGTTTGGGCTCTGCACTCCCATGTTTAGCCTCTTAGCTGTTGTTACTTGGTGTTTAATCAAATTCTTTTGAAGTTGCCAACCAATCTGAGTTGTGTGATAGGCAAACAAAGGATGAGCTTTGTGTTCCTGGGTTGGGCTTTAAGAGGCTCCAGGAGGTGGAGATATTTAGGGATAGAGTGGAGCACCAGGCCAGCTGCTGGAAAAGGTAGTTGACTTGTCTCTGATCAGAACCCCACTTTACTAATGGGGAAACTAAGTCTCAGCTCAGGGGAGGGACTTGTCACACACCAAAATAGCAAGTGTGGTGGTAGGATTAAGCCCTGGCTTAAATCCAGATGTTCATTTTTCTGAATAAGGTTCAAACTCTAGGGAATTCAGCAATGGAATTGTTGATGGGAACAGCTTGAGTTTTGCCCTAAGTCTAGGGAAATATTTTTCAGAAGCAAAGTGGTTTCAGAAGCTTTTCAAGGAAATAACACTTAAATACTTGTATCAAGCAGTTTTGCAAGGGAAGCAGCCATGTTTGCCTCACATGGTTGTTCTTGGGATGTAGTAGAACTGTACAGGGACTGTGGAATATCTGCAGCAGCAGAGCATACATCAGATGGCCACAGGACTGAAACATGCACCAAAAGTGAGATTGTCCAAGTCCCTGATGTTATTTCAGGTAAGAAAGCCTTTTATGTGATTTTAAATGCTCTGCCAAGGAGAGTTTCCCCATCCCTTAGGATTCAGATGATTTCCTCAAAGATATCTCATGAGATTATTCATCAGATTTTCCTAACTCTGTATTGAATAAGGGTCATATACATTTCCCAACACATGGATCAACCAACCAGACACTCTCTCTCTGCCTAAGGGAATTATTTACTAAGAAAAATAATAATAAATGGAAAAGGGAAGCCTTTAGAATTGCAATAAAAATAGTTTTATCTATTTCCTGGGAGTGGGTGAATTTTGCAGAGGAAGTGATACAGGTGTTTTCTTTTCTGTCATATTGGATAAGAACACCCCTGAGTTAATTAAGCTATGTTTTCACCTGGGTTCCATTTCGGATTGCTGTAATAGGTGTCTTACTCTGGGTATATATATTTTTAGCATATTTCAGTGGTGTTAGAAAGTGGAAAATAAGGGTGGCAAGAGAGTGGGGATGAAAACCAAGAACAGAGTACTACCTATGTTAGGCAAAGAGTGATTAAAAAAAAAAAGTTATCCAGTCCAAGTACAATTCAGAAAGAGTTTAATAAACAGCCACTAAACATTGCACCAAAGCATTTGGAAACACAATTTCTACAGAGGCAAATGTCAGGCTTCCATTCTAATTCCTTAAGACAATCATTAACAGCCCCACCCCCACCCCCTATCCCCACATATCCACAACACTATTCTCTTATAGTCATTAATTTACCTACAGACATAGTCTTAGAAATATTGGGACTGGCATGCATTATCCCAGCAATGGCAAGGAAGCAGAGGATAGGGAAAGGATAGGTGAAAAGTCAACCAGTAGTTAATGACATATCCCTTAGGAGCTTTGTTCAGGGGTAGACAGGGAGAACCTGTTTTTGGTACTGTCTGTGTCTTTACTTTGGGTTTCTAGGATACTCTGGATGAGTGGCTGGGACTGCCATCTTAATTTCGTTCCCTTGAATCCTTACTATTAGAATTGGTCTCCTTGGGTAAACACATTGTGACTTTTAAAAAATCATTTTGGTATCCAAGCAAATTGCATTCAGGACCCATCAGGCCTGTTGAGATTGTGCTGATTCTGAGGTTTAAGGTAGACGTCCCTTCTCAATCCTATCCTCATTTTGGCCTTTGGAAAGAGGCACATGATGATTCTCTATTATAGACACTTCTAAGAAGCCTAGGCAAGTCACTTAAACATCAAAAACTTAGTTTTTCTACCTTATAAAATTTTTATAATTATAACTGTCTCTTTTACTCGCATTAAGAACAAATGAAATCAAATGGCCCCTAAATAATATATTATTAAACTGGTAATAAAATTAATGGTTTAGTTGACTCAAAATTTGACTAGACTCTGATTCACCTCACCTTAGAATTAGCATTAACAGAGGACCAGAGTTCCCTGACAGTGGGAACAAAGTTCTTGGGTCTGGACTAGGGTGTGAAATGTGGATGGTATGGAAGAAAGAATTTAATTTTGTCTGCCAGTGGCCCTGTCTTTTGAGAAAGACTTCAAGCCTCAACTACCACCCAGCCCATATCTCTTGCCCCATCCAGTACTCGATTAGGTAACTTGGCAGGGAAGTGACTTTCCTATCACTCTAATCCTTTAAAAATTATTTGTGTAGGCATTTGATCTAGATATTTTTTGTTTATATTTGTACCTTTTTGGTATAAATTTAAAAATTACTTGATCTTTTTCTTAAAGAGTTTGCAGGTGGCAATGAGTCCAAACTAAGCAGTGTCCAGCTAGCTATAAGGGTTGAGGGCTTGAGAGAAGAGGGCTTTCCCAAAAATGTTACCATTTTTCTGAGGGGCTAGACATGTCAGGGCATCAGTCACCTTGATGTCAGGCCAGTCCAGTTTTGTTCTATTAGGTTTTTCTATACACGGTAGACAGTGATGAGCCTCAGTTGTCCCCACTAACCTCCAAGCCAAAAAAGGACTGGAGGCCATGTTCAGAGGATAGCACTTGTACCTGACTTTGCTATTAGTTCTTATGCCTAGTGGGCCCTGCAGTAGGCAGGGAAGGTGGCAGGCAGGACCACATGGGATAGCCCTACCTGGCTTCCTACTGAGTCAGAATCATCTGATCTGGACCAGTGAACACTCCTCCTAGGTTTGGACCACTCAAACAGCCAAGCCTCCCACTACAAGTAATAGAGCCTCTTCTTCTTTTTGCAGTGGGCAGAGTGCAGTGAAATACATGCAGTGCCCTCAGTTTGGGGAGACTGGCAGATTATAATGAGCAACTGGACAAATGGCAGTGTTTGGCTCTGATGAGGGTACACCCAGCAATGTTAGAGGAACAAGTAATTTTTCCGTTAAATGTTTTTTCATTGATATTAATAAGTATTAGTTGAGAGTCACAGCTTTGTAGAGGGTTGAAAAGAATCATGAAACACATGAAGAGGAGCCCCAGGGTTTTGGTGTATAGATGCTTCCTAGGATATACTGTGCTCTGGTTGCTATGCCACCACTATCTACTGTTTGCGGATCATGCCCTTGATAGCTGACTCCCGGTTGACATATGTGGCCCAATAGACCAGATTGAAAATGGCAAAGAGCACAGGAAAGATGATGCGAGAAATTTTGTCAACCTTGCTGACACTGTTGTAGGTCTTGGTCTCAGTTGGGATGTCCTGCACATAGGTGGTTTTCGGTGAAGCAATGATAGTCGGGGTTGAGGAGGCACTGTGAGCAGCACCCTGGGAGATGGTGGAGAACTCAGTGTCCTTAGCCAGGTTGATGGGATAGGTGGTCCCCACGATGTTGAAAGTGGTGCTGGTTTTCTTTGTTGGAGCTGCTGGTGTTTTCTTCTAGAGACCAGAAAAAGTAGGGGAGAGAGGAGAACAAAAATATCTAATTAACTCTTTCCATTGAGCACCTTCAGAGGCTATAGAAAGGAGGAATCCAGAGAGAAGTTAAAAAACAGGGGCTCTAAAGCCAATAACACTGAATAGCTAGGTTTGTGTCTAAAAACTTGCATCATCCTGGTTTACCAGCTATGTGGCTTTGGCCAAGTAACTTTTCCTCTTTGAGCTTTATTTTCTTCATTTGTAAAATGAAGATAAAAATATTTGTCAGGGTTGTTGAGATAATCGGATGAGAGAATGGTGGTAGAAATAATTTGACAACTGTAAAATGTTGGTCACATGTAGAGTCCTACATAATAATGTGATTTGATCCTCACAATAACCCTAATGAGGTAGAGTGAGATTACGCCTATTTGACAGATGAGAAAAAGCCTCAGACTGAGTGGCAGAACCCACAATAGCCACCTGGACTTCTGATTTTTATCCAGGGCTGTTCCATGCTGCTTTTGATAGGCACAAGACACTTTTTGGTTACCCGAGAAATAACTCCAAAATGCTTCAACCATCAAGTGGCACATCTCCTGTGGGGAAGAGAGCTCCATGAGTCTGAAAGTCATTTTTCCTTAAAGACACAATAAATACTATGGCACGTTTATAACCATCATTACATCAGTACCTCACCCTTCATGCACTGTAAATGTGTTCAGCAAGCTAGGGGGCACACCAGGGTTTTTCACTCTTGCAAGGCTGTAGGCTAGTGCCACAGCCTCCCAGGGAGCTATGCAAACGCTCCCTTCTGACACAGTAAGGGGAGGGGCAGATGGGGGAGTGTTATGACACTCTCCTTTGAATTATTTTTTCAGAGTAAAACAAAAATCTCAATTGAAAACAAGTATGCACACATGTGCCCATTTGCTCCCACATATATAACTTGTGTATATATGGACCTTCCATGTAGAAAAGAGAAGATAAAAAGCTCAGGCCTGGGTTAAAAGAGAGAGGCTAAGGAAGATGAGGCCAAGAGAGCAGGTCAGTCCCAGACTCAGGCCAAATCCATTGGCCAAGTTCATAGTCTGTAGTGTTTGCTGCATCACTCCCCACTCTGGACTTTTCTTCCTGCCGCCCCTCTTTGTTTCTAGGTACAAGTAGGGATAGATGAGCGTCAGAAATGTCCAAGCATATCTGATAAAAAGTGATGACTACTTTTGTTGCCCTAATTTCGTACACCTCACATTGTTCCCTTTCTCAATATTACTTTCCTCCCTAGCATTTTTGTTTAACTCTTCACTCCTCTGCTTTCTATGTGTTTCCATCCTGGGTTTTGGGTTTCTCTATTTCTTCCCTCCTTCCCTTACTTACCCCTTTCTCCTAATATCTTTCTATTTCTTTTCTTCTTTAAGAGCCCCCATCATTTTTATCCTTTTTTTCCCTTTTAGACTACACTGCCATTTACCTTCCTAATCCTAATTATAACTTTTGTCAAATATTTACTGAGTATCTACTGGTACAAGAACTATGCTAGGCATTTATAGATAAGTGGGAAGGTTAAAAGATGAATCAGTTTTAGTCCTTGTTTTCTAGGAGTTAACAGTCCAGTGGGAGAGATAGCCTTATGAACACATAATGGCCATATAATGTGATCAGGGCTCTAACAGATATGAGCAGAGTATGATAGGAATTCAGTAGAGAAAGGGGAAAGTAACCTACAAGTGATGAAAATGGTGGCTCTAAGAAGGCAATGAGGTTTACGAGCTGGGTTTCAAAAAAAAAGAACAAGAACTCATAAAGATGCAGCAAAAACCAAAGGGACTCCTTATTTGAAGGTTGACAAGGAGTCTGCTGCAGCCGAATCACAGTGTGTGCAACAAAGGCATTGGATGTCACATCCTGTTCTGATTGCCTGTGCTAGTTTCAAGGTTTTCAATCAGAGAGGGGGTGTTAGTTTAAGTAAATGAATAGTCTAAAGGGACATTTAAAAAGCAATACTGGTCTTCTTTCTCTTTGAGGATTGCACTCATATTGCTACAAGTAGGAAGGGGGAGGAAGGCTTGTATAGGTCTTATAAATGCTTCAAATACTATATGGGACTCATTTATAAATAGCAAATTTATTGTGTGAAGCCTGTTGATAAATGCCCTGGCTATTAGATAAAAGAACACTTTACTGTTTGCCTGCTTACTTATTAATTCACTTAGTAATCTCTTTTACTCATGGGTAGACTAAAAAGAGAAAAAAATGAAACAACCTATTACCCTGATTTTGCTGGAAAGTTTTACACATTATTTTATTTAGTCATCTTAAAAGCTGGTTATGAACAAATCTAAAAAAATTATTCTGAACAGCAAACACTTTCTTTAGCTACATTGGAAAGTTGTATTCTATAGGTGGGGCAAAGCAGCATATGATTTAACTGTAGATTTTTTTTAAGTAATAAAGGAAAATTATGTTTAAATTTCCCTTCCCCTTTCCAAGATGGCACATTTTAATCAGGCAGCATAATTTTAATCTAAATTGTCAAAGAAGAAAAAGTTAAAATTATAATGTCAATAATACAGGAGCAGGAGTCAGAGATTATTGGTTAATATTTCTACATCTGGTTTCCTAATACTTTTTTAAAAATCCTCACCTGAGGATATTTTTCTATTTATCTTCAGACAGAGTGGAAGGGGGAGAGAGAGAGAGAGAAAGGGAGAGAAAGGGAAGCACTGACGTGAGAGGGACACATCGACTGGTTGCCTCCTACATGACTCCAGCCAGGGCCAGGGACAAACCGCAACTGAGGTATATGCCTTCGGCCAGAATTGAACCTGTGACTCATTGGTCCACAGGCTGATGCTCTACCCTTGAGCCAAAATGGCCAGGGTGTGCTTTTCTAATATTTTTCTACACTCCAGAATTTGAAAGACAAACTTAACTTTGACCAAGTTGCAATTCTATTTGTACCTCCCTAGCAACTGCCTGACTCTTAGGCACACAATAGATGACTACTGAATGAAAAATGACACACATAGCCCACTCAAGATTCTCAATGTGATTTGCAGTTTGTTCCTCCTGAGCCTTGTCCTATCCTATACAGAAAGCATATCTGTATAGTCCAGTAATTCCAATACCACAAAACTGAAACTGACTTCTCCAAGTTCCTTCAAGCAGTCTGACCCCAGGACAAGGATACCTATCCTTCTAGAAAGCTACCTCATAGGGTTTTGGGATGAGGCAATAAAAACTTTTATGGACCAATGCATGTCCAAGTCAAGAGCTTTCCTCAAGTGGCACTCCTTTCTATTGTTTCAGAAGTACAATTTAGAGGGTTAGTTGTAGTCCTGATGCACTTGACACTTAGCCAGGACTACAGAGTATATGTAGATATGGTCCAGGGCCTCTGTGTCAACTTCCTAATAGTCATCCAACTTTCCTGAACCTCAGTTTTTAGAAGTGGGGCAAAGTAATGGAGTTTATGGTAAGTGGGACTCAAAGACAAATCAAGAATGACAAAAAATGAACAACTCAGTTTTTAAAATGAAAAACGGACTTGAATAGACATTTATCTAAAGAAGATATACAAAAGGCCAGTAAGCACATTGAAAGATGCTCAATATCAGTACTCATTGGGGAAATACAAATCAAAATCCACCATCGCTCAGCCAATGTGGTTCAGTGGACTCAGGGTCATCCCATGGACTGAGAGGTCCTGGTTTGATTCTTAGTCAGGGCCCATGCCTGGGTTGCAGGCTAAATCTTCAGTGGGGGGCATACAGGAGGCAGTTATTTGATGTTTTTCTTTCACCTCGATATTTCTCTCTCTCTCCCTTCCTCTATCTCTAAAAAAAAATCAATAAAAATATATATATTTAAAAACCACAATAAGATATCACTTCACACCCATTAGGATGTCTACTATCAACAACAACCACAAAAACAGAAAATAACAAGTGCTGGCAAGGATGTGGAGAAATTGGAACCCTTGGGCAATTTTAGGAATGTCAAATAGTGTAGACTGTATGGAAAATGGTATGTTGGTTCCTCAAAAATTTAAAAATATAATTGAAATGTGATCCAGCAATTCCACTTCTGGGTATATACCTACCAAAATTGAAAGCAATGTTTCAAAGAGATATTTGTACATCCACATTCATAACAACATAATATCAAATAGCCAAAATGTGGAAGCAACCTAAGTGTCCATAGAAGAATAGATAAACAAAACCTTGTCTAACCATACAATGGAACATTATTCATCCTTAAAAAGGAAATTCTGACACTACAATATGAATAAATCTTGAGGACATTATGTTAAGTGAAATAAGCCAGTCATGAAAAGATAAATACAGTATTATTCCACTTATATGAGAGTACTTAAAAGTAACCAGATTCATAGAGACAGAAAGTAGAATAGTGGTTGCCAGTGGACAGGAGCATGGGAATTTGCTCTTTAATGGGTATAGTTTCAGTTTTGCAAGATGAAGAGTTCTGGAAATTGGTTGGACAACATTGTAAATATACTTAACGCTACTGAACTGTATGTATAAAGTGGTTTAGGTGGTTAATTTTAGGCTGTTTAATGAGGAAGATTAATTAAAATAAGAGACAAAATATAAGGGAGAAAGAACAAGAAACATGCAGAGAATCATAAAAAAACGAGTCAAAGGAATTCAAAAGAGGAAGGGAGCATACAGGATTAGGAGGAGATCAATAAGCCAGTAGAAAGAGGAGAAAATGCAGGTAGAAGAAAAGGAATCAGTTGGGCCAGTTTTCTGAAAGGGTGGGAGGTATCCAGAGAATACGTGGGGAATTACCTGGGGCCAGATCACAGCTAAGGAAAGAGTGGATGAGACTCAAATACTATCTATGCTTTCATGGGATAAAAGGTACACAATAAGTTAAAGCAAATCTCATACAATTGGTTTTACATTCACCATGTACAAGTTGAAGGGAATGGTCAATACATAAAATAATTTTATAAGGAATAGGAGACAGAATTGATTAGGGTCACAGAGTAGGATTGC